CTGAGGGCTGAATGGTCCCTGTGGAAGAGGCCACCCCGAAAGTGGAGAGTTCCTCCTGGAATACCCTCCTGGCCTGAGGGCTCAAGGGTCCCTGTGGAACAGGCCACCTGGGAAGTGGAGAGTTCCTCCTGGGACACCCTCTTTGGCCTGAGAACTGAAGGGTCCCTGTGGAAGAGGCCACACGGAAATGGAGAGTTCCTCCTGGGACACCCTCTTTGGCCTGAGGGCTGAATGGTCCCTGTGGAAGAGGCCACCCGGAAAGTGGAGAGTTCCTCCTGGGACACCCTCTTTGGCCTGAGGGCTGAAGGGTCCCTGTGGAAGAGGCCACCCGGTAAGTGGATAGTTCCTCGTGGGACACCCTCTTTGGCCTGAGGGCCGAAGGGTCCCTGTGGAAGAGGCCACCTGGGAAGTGGAGAGTTCCTCCTGGGACACCCTCTTTGGCCTGAGAGCTGAAGTATCTCTGTGGAAGAGGCAACCAAGAAATGCAGAGTTCCTCCTGGGACACCCTCTTTGGCCTGAGGGCTGAAGGGTCCCTGTGTAAGAGGCCACCCGGAAAGTGGACAGTTCCTCCTGGGACACCGTCTTTTGCCTGAGGGCTGAAGGATCCCTGTGGAAGAGGCCACGCGGAAAGTGGTGAGTTCCTCCTGGGACACCCTCTTGTCCTGAGGGCTGAGGGGTCCCTGTGGAAGAGGCCACCCGGAAATGGAGAGTGCCTCCTGGGACACCCTCTTTGGCCTGAGGGCTGAAGGGTCCCTGTGGAAGAGGCCACCCAGAGAGTGGAGAGTTCCTCCTGGGACACCGTCTTTTGCCTGTGGGCTGAAGGGTCCCTGTGGAAGAGGCCACCCGGAAACTGGTGAGTTCCTCCTCGGACACCCTCTTGGCCTGATGGCTGAAGTGTCCCTGTGGAAGAGGCACCCGGAAATGGAGAGTTCCTCCTGGGACACCCTCTTTGGCCTGAGGTCTGAAGGGTCCCTGTGGAAGAGGCCACCCGGAAATTGAGAGTTCCTCCTGGGACACCCTCTTTGGCCTGAGGGCTGAAGCGTCCCTGTGGAAGAGGCCACCCTGAAAGTGGAGAGTTCCTCCTGGGACACCCTCTTGGCCTGAGGGCTGAAGGGTCCCTGTGGAAGAGGCCACCTGGGAAGTGGAGAGTTCCTCCTCGGACACCCTCTTGGCCTGAGAACTGAAGGGTCCCTGTGGAAGAGGCCACCCGGAAATGGAGAGTTCCTCCTGGGACACCCTCTTTGCCTGAGGGCTGAAGGGTCCCTGTGGAATAGGCCACCCGGAAAGTGGAGAGTTCCTCCTCGGGCCCCCTCTTTGGCCTGAGGGCTGAAGGGTCCCTGTGGAAGAGGCCACCCTGAAAGTGGAGAGTTCCTCCTGGGACACCCTCTTGGCCTGAGGGCTGAAAGGTCCCTGTGGAAGAGGCCACCTGGGAAGTGGAGAGTTCCTCCTGGGACACCCTCTTGGCCTGAGAACTGAAGGGTCCCTGTGGAAGAGGCCACCCGGAAATGGAGAGTTCCTCCTGGGACACCCTCTTTGGCCTGAGGGCTGAAGGGTCCCTGTGGAAGAGGCCACCCGGAAAGTGGAGAGTTCCTCCTGGGACACCCTCTTTGGCCTGAGGGCTGAAGGGTCCCTGTGGAAGAGGCCACCCGGAAAGTGGAGAGTTCCTCCTGGGACACCCTCTTTGGCCTGAGTGCTGAAGGGTCCCTGTGGAAGAGCCCACCCGGAAATGGAGAGTTCCTCCTGGGACACCCTCTCTGGCCTGAGTTCTGAAGGGTCCCTGTGGAAGAGGCCACCCGGAAATGGAGAGTTCCTCCTGGGACACCCTCTCTGGCCTGAGTTCTGAAGGGTCCCTGTGGAAGAGGCCACCCGGAAATGGAGAGTTCCTCCTGGGACACCCTCTTTGGCCTGAGGGTTGAAGGGTCCCTGTGGAAGAGGCCACCCGGAAAGTGGAGAGTTCCTCCTGGGACACCCTCTTTGGCCTGAGGGCTGAAGGGTCCCTGTGGAAGAGGCCACCTGGAAATGCAGAGTTCCTCCTGGGACACCCTCTTTGGCCTGAGGGCTGAAGGGTCCCTGTGGAAGAGGCCACCCGGAAAGTTGGGAGTTCCTCCTGGGACACCCTCTTTGGCCTGAGGGCCGAAGGGTCCCTGTGGAAGAGGCCACCTGGGAAATGGAGAGTTCCTCCTGGCAAACACCTCCCTTGGCCTTTGGTGTGGCCCTGCAGGCAGGCTCGTGCAGAAAACCTGCAACCTCAAGACCACTGTCAGGGGATGTCAACTGCAAGGGCACCCAGGACCCGGATGCATCCAGCGTGAGAGTGGCATTTTCTGGCCTTTTGGATCATGGGGCTGTGCTCCCTTGCATGAGCGCAATGTGCCCACGTCCCCTGGATGCGGGGTCAATTTCCAAGTCTTGTCAGGATCTCCTGGGACGCGCCACCGGGGGCTCGATGGGCCCCAGGGAAGAACCCTGTGGGACCCTTGGATCTGGAGCAATACCCACCTGGGCAGGATGGTGGAGTTGGGAGATTTAGCAGAGGACATCTCCCCACCGTCATGGAGGACCCTGCTGAGCCCCGTGGAAGGCGACCACTGTCCCACCCTGGCCTGGGTAAGGGAAACTTGGGGCCCAGGGACCCTCCGCAAAAGGTGCCCCCGGGATTCTGAGCCCTGTGGGTGAGCGCACCTCTCCCAGGGGAGCTCATTCTCCAGGGTTCCTGGGGGTGGAGCACCCTCGGCCACCAGCGCTCAGGCTGCTGGGGTCCTGGGGGTGAGCGCCCCTCACCCTGCAGGACCCCAGCGGCCCTGAGCGTGGAGGGGACCCACCCTGGCCCTCCTGGAACCAGGCTTCCCTAGTTCCTAGGGGTGAGCGCCCCTCCTTTCGGCAGGGCTGGGCCTGGCCTGCTGGCTGTTGGTGAGCGCCCAGGCAGCAGCCTCCAGTCCCCAGGACTCTCTGGACCCTGCTGGTGAATGCCCCTCACCATTCAATGCTCAGTGCAGTGCTCAGTGTGCCCTGGGTGCTGCAGGTTCCTGCTTGGAGGCCCCCCACCCCCACACCAGTGTCACAGCCCTGTTCCCTTTCCCCAGGGTCCTGCTAGGGGAGGGCCCCTGGGTCCTTAGCATTCCTTGTGCACTGTGGCCTGCGGGTGAGCTCCCTCACCCATCAGTGCCCAGTGTCCTCGGTGTCCTTTGGCTGCGCCGCCTGTCTTGCGGTGGCGTGTTGGTCGCCCAGCAGGCTTCCTTGTCCTCAGGGGCTTGTGGGTGAGCGCCCCTGGCTCAGACCCCTCTGGGTCCTATGGGTGAGCGCCCCTCGCCCAGTAGTGCCCAGTGGGTCTCCTCTGGGTCCCTTGGGTGGCGCCCCTCCCTCGCCAGTGCTCAGTATGCCCTGGGCCCTGTGGGGGAGTGCCCTCGCTTGCCAGGGCCCAGTGTCCTCTGAGCTGTAATGCCACCTGGTGTCTGGGGAGTGAACTGTGTGGGTGGGGCCTTTCCCTCCTGGCCTGGGACACCCTCTTTGGCCTGATGGCTGAAGGGTCCCTGTGGAAGAGGCCACCCAGAAAGTGGAGAGTTCCTCCTGGGAAACCCTCTTGGCCTGAGGGCTGAAGGGTCCTTGTGGAAGAGGCCACCTGGAAATGGAGAGTTCCTCCTGGGACACCCTCTTTGGCCTGAGGGCTGAAGGGTCCCTGTGGAAGTGGCCACCTGGGAAGTGGAGAGTTCCTCCTGGCAAACACCTCCCTTGTCCTTTGGTGCGGCCCTGCAGGCAGGCTTGTGCAGAAATCCTGTGACCTCAAGACCACTGTCAGGGGATGTCAACTGCAAGGGCACCTAGGACCTGGATGCATCCAGCCTGACATGCCATTTTCTGGCCTTTTGGCCCTTGGGACTGTGCTCCCTTGCATGAGCGCAAGGTGCCCAGGACCTCTGGATGCCGGGACCAATTTCCAAGGCTTGTCAGGATCTCCTAGGACGCGCCACCGGGGGCTCGATGGGCCCCAGGGAGGAACCCCTTGGGATCCTTGGATCCGGAGCAAGGCCCACCTGGGCAGGACAGTGGAGGGGTGAGATTTGGCAGAGGACATCTCCCCACCGTCATGGAGGACCCTGCTGAGCCCCGTGAAAGTGGACCACTGTCCCACCCTGGCCCAGGTAAGTGAGACTTGGGGCCGAGGGACCCTCCGCAAGAGGTGCTCCCAGGATTCTGAGCCCTGTGGGTGAGCGGCTGTCTCCCAGGGGTGCTCATTCTCCAGGGTTCATGGGGGTGGAGCACTCTCGGCCCCCAGCGCTCATGCTGCTAGGGTCCTGGGGGTGAGTGCCCTTCACCCAGCAGGGCCCCAGCGGCCCTGATTGTGGAGGGGAGCCACCCTGGCACTCCTGGGACCAGGCTTCCCTAGTTCCTAAGTGTGAGTGCCCCTCCCTTCGGCAGGGCTGGGCCTGGCCTGCTGGCTATGGGTGAGTGCCCCAGGCAGCAGCCTCCAGTCCCCAGGACTCTCTGGGCCCTGCTGTTGAGCGCCCCTCGCCCTGCAATGCTCAGTGCGCCCTGGGTGCTGCAGGTTCCTGCTTGGCGGCCCCCCACCCCCACACCAGTGTCACAGCCCTGTTCCCTTTCCCCAGGGTCCTGCTAGGGGAGGGCCCCTGGGTCCTTAGCATTCCTTCTGCACTGTGGCCTGTGGGTGAGCGCCCCTTCCCCATCAGTGCCCAGTGTCTTCGGGGTCCTTTGGGTGAGCCGCCTGTCTTGCGGGGGCTTGGGGTCGCCCAGCAGGCTTCCTTGTCCTCAGGGGCCTGTGGGTGAGAGCTCCTCGCCTGAGGGCCCTTGGTGTGCCCGGGCCTCTGGGGCGAGCCCCCCAGGCGCGCCAGGGACCAGTGAGCTCTGGGGCCCGCGGGTGAGCGCCCCTCGCCCGATGGTCCCCAGTGTCCCCTGTGTCCTGAGGCTGAGCGCCCCTGGCTCAGACCCCTGTGGGCCCTATGGGTGAGCGCCCCTCGCCCAGCAGTGCCCAGTGGGTCTCCTCTGGGGACCGTGGGTGGCGCCCCTCCCTCGCCAGTGCTCAGTATGCACTTGGCCCTGTGGGGGAGCGCCCCTCGCCTGCCAGGGCCCAGTCTCCTTTGAGCCCTAATGCCACCTGGTGCCTGGGGAGTGAACTGTGTGGGTGGGGCCTTTCCCTCCCAGCCTGGGACACCCTCTTTGGCCTGAGGGCTGAAGGGTCCCTGTTTAAGAGGCCACCCGGAAAGTGGAGAGTTCCTCCTGGGACACCCTCTTTGGCCTGAGGGCTGGAGGGTCCCTGTGGTGTTCCTCCTGGCAAACACCTCCCTTGGCCTTTGGTGTGGCCCTGCAGGGAGTCTTTTGCAGAAAACCTAGGACCTCCAGACCACTGTGAGGGTATGTCAACTCCAAGGGCACCCAGTACCCGGATCCATCCAGCCTGACACCCCATTTTCTGGCCTTTTGGCCCATGGGGCTGTGCTCCCTTGCATGAGCGGAAGGTGTACGGGACCCGTGGATGCGGGGGCCAATTTCCAAGGCTTGTCAGTATCTCGTGGTGGCCCCCACCCCCTCACCATTGTCGCAGCCCTGTTCCCTTTCCAGAAGTTCCCTCAGGAAAGTCTGGAAAGGAAGTCTTGTCCTCATCCCATGTCCTGTTCTTTAACGTATTCTTTCACTTTGATGACAGTCACTGTTAGTTTCCTCGTCTGCCTACTCAGTCTTCTGGACTCTTTTGAGTATTTACTTTTTTTCTTGTTTTTTTACAGCTTTTTATGTGGTTTCTTTTGGGCTCTTGAGATACTGGGATTTTGAATTTCTTGGCTGTCTATTGTGTGGAGCCTGGCTGCTCTAAATGTGTAGGTGACCTTCATGTCCCCAGCTTGCGATGATTCCTGGAGACATCTGGCTGTCCTGTCTGTTTCTTCCTGGGGATTGACAATGGGTTCTTCTTCCCCATCTTGAGTTTCAGCATTTTGGGGACATACTCGCCATGTTCTGCTCTATACCCAGTGGGAGGAGCAGCACTGAGGAGAGGAAGAAGAGCTCCAGGCCAAGCAGGTGAGTGGGGAAAGTATCTGAGTGGGGTGGGCCTGGGCCCTGCTTTGTCCTTGGCCTCACCCAGTGGTGCGCCATGCCCTGTAGCCCTCCTGGGACTTCAGAGGTCACCAGTGGGCCCCTCCCTGCACCCTACCTGTGGTTCCATTGGATGTCGATCAGCAGGCTTTCTGAAGAGCACTTTTGGACTCATTATTAACTTCACTGGTACAGAGGATGTGACACACACTTCACAAGTCATCTTAAAATAAACCTCTCTTGATTGTAAATTCCATAGATCAAGGGCTTTTCACTAAATGTTTCAGTTGTGGCTGGTCTTTTGTATCTGTAGCCAGTTGATGGTTGCCTCAGAACCACCATAGACGAGATCAATCTCATAGCAATTGCTTTCACTGCTGTCTGATTCAAGAGAGAATTTGCTTGTGGTGTTCACTGGCCTATAGTTGAGTGTAGTTCTGACAAGAATGTTGGTTGATAATTTCATTTATACATAAGACAAAAACGAAACCAGCAGAACATTCATGTGCATTGCATTACTTTGTGTAGGGCAAAGGTGTGTTCTTGGTTGAATGGATGCTAGTGTTGAGTACTGGAAGTGTAGTTCCACACACTTTTGTAGCTATTGTTCATATCTCTTGTTCATATCTTTTGTAGCTATTCATAGTGGAATAGCTACAGACATAAACATTCCTGCATTATTAACCTTTTCTCCATCTCATCATTAAATTGAGACAATGAACAAAACAGCAAACCAGCCTGCAACAGGTGGTGATTGCCGATTTTCCTTTTGTAGATGCCTCATGGGACCCGTACTCTGCATGGCCGGGAAGGGACCTGGAGTAGAGAAGCACCATGTTTGCAAGTGAACAGGACTCAGGTGAATCCTGAGCATGGGTGATCGCAAGACTTGGTGGAGAGATCACCAGGTCGTAAGCCGTGAGAACAGCAGGGAACAGGAGGCCCAGAGTCTGGTCCTAGCAGCATAGGGTGGGCTGAAATGTCCAAGCGTGAGCCCTGCCATGGCCGAGCATGACTTCTACACACATGTTCCCATGCACATGGCATTGAGGGAGGATGCAGCAGAGCTGGCAGGGTTTGGGGCCACAGGGCCAGCTCTGTCCTAGAGCCCAACTGTGAAGGCTAATACCCCCGTGCTGTCTCCCCTGCTTCCATCCAGCTTCCAGGGCTGCTCTCCCTCCCCAGGCTTCTCCTGGCCCTCTGTTCCCTCCAAATGACTCTTCTCCTGGAGCCTCCACCACTGCTTCCCTCTAGAAGAACCCAAACCAAAGATGACAGCTTGGCTTGGGCTCTGCAGGGCTCCTCTGAACCTGAAGTTAGAGTTTAAGAAAACCATATATACCTTCATTCGGAGCAACCAACAGGAACTTTCAGGAGAAAAAGAATTCACTGAAAGCTCAGAGGTTGGGCAAATGCATCCACCTTTCTGGCACTCAGAAACATAAATAAAAGCAAAGCCACCCTCTGATCAGCAAAGACAATTCTTAAAATCAAGTGTCACTGAGGATGAGTTGAAATGGATATTTCCAAATAAACTACAGGCCAAGAAGCCAGTAGGAAGTAATGGAAAGTAAGTTCATAACTGGACCAGCACACAACCCAGCCTCAAGCTCACATGCCTTGGGCTCAATAATGCAGTTGGAACAATCAGAAGGAACTCTGGCTCACTTGTCCACTTCTAGAAATTGTAAAACACTTGAAAGGGGCAGGAGGAAGTGTTTATCGTAAGGCAGGATGAGCCCATGAAATGGGCAGTGCAGTGTGATAAGGAAATTCTTTTTCAGACCAAGGGAGGAAACTCCGTGTGATGAAGAGTGAAGGTGAAGGAGCTGAGAAGCTGGACAGAGTGGGCAGGAACATGCTGCAACTGCACAGAAGGCCACAGGGAGTAGGAACAGACCCAGCTGTCAGATGGACTCAGGACAAGGCACCCACCCCCTGCACAGTTCTGGTTCTGAAGTTTTGACCTTGGTCCATAGGTATGTGTCTGTGGAAGATGATGTGTACATTCATTAGCTGGGTCTTTGGGGGAAGGTCTACTTGTCTACTAGATGGTATATAGCAGCCTTTCCCACACAGGCCTCTGCCCTGGCCGCTTGCCCTTGCCTCTAGATCCCTGCACTGCTGCCTGCCACTCTCTGCAGCTCTCTTCCAGTAGCCCTGGAGCATTCTTGTGCAAGGCTACATCCCTCAGCAGTGCCCTGGCCAGGCCTGCAGGCCACCCTCAAGAAGGGCACAGCCACAGAGCTGGCACCATCACCCTCCAGAACAAGCAGGGCCCTCTCTTGAGCTGCAGGACTGGCCTCTGCCCCAGCACCCAGCTCAAGGCGTGGGACTGAGCCTCCTTTTGCAGGGGGAGAGAGGCTCCTCATTTCCCCAAGGTTTCCACAGTGATGTGTGCTGTTTTGTACTCAATTTAAAAAAGTAATTTAATTGCAGATAGCATGTTTTCTGAAAGACCCTGAGTGTGAATTAGCAGCCAGGGTCACCTGGTCATTCTGCTGATGCTTCATTGACCCCACAGCTAGGGCCTCTGGGAGCCTGCCCCTGATCACAGATGGACTCCCTGCTAGAACTGCAGGATCAATACTTTTGAAGGTGGAGGAAGAGCTAGAGGAGATGGAGGAGCTATGAGCTGTACCCCTGGAGAAAGGGTCTGGTTTTTGGGACTGTACTCAGGTGCCTGTACCCCAAGGGTGAATGAGGGGAGTGTAGGGGGTTCAGATAGCAAAGATCTCCATGCACACAGGGTTGGGAGGATGCAGAATGAGGTGTGAGGTAGGTCTGAGCACCTGCTATGATCCTCATATCCTCACAGATGTCCCCATTGACCTTCATGGAGGACACCTACACAGCCCTGTAGAGAAGTGAAGCCCCATGAGGTGAAGGGGGGTCCTGGGAAGTTGGATAGGACAGTGACTATATCCATGGAACCTGGAGTATGGGGCTGGGCAGGAAGACAGATGCTGACCAGGGCCCCTCCCCTACTGAAAGTCCACCTTATGCTGCACCTGGAGGACCCCAGGTGCTTCAGGACTGTAGGTAAAACTTAATCTAGGAACCACTCCTTCTAAGCCTGTTTTGTTGCTCAAATTTGCCTAAAAATGATCTTTTGACACTGACTCTTAACAGTCTATCACTTACCCTCTGATGAGAGACCAGATCAGACCAAAGGAAAGGACAAGTGCATCATGGTGACATGGGCCTAGACCACTTGGTGGACAGTCAGTAATATCTTCAGAAAAAGTTATTCAGAGATGGAGGCATTGTCAGAATGAAGATGGCCAGGTGCCAACCCTACCCAAGGTTGGCCTTGCCCAGGCTTTGGAGCAAGGTTCCCAAGTCCTCCACTAGGTGGAGCCGGGGGACATCTTTGCAGGTTGGCTCTTTTCCCTCAGCTCAGGGTGGCCTTGAGGGGATCTCAGCACCAATCCTGCAATAAAAGGACAGATAACACAAAACCCCTCATCCCTCAGGACTGCAGGATGGACAGGATAGTGGGCGCTGTGATGGGGCCCAATTAAAATCAGAAAATTTCAAAGAAGCTCCAAATTGCTTTTTTCTCAATCCCTGCCATTCTCTGCCAGTGTTCCAGCTCCCTTCAGGCAACTGTCCCATGCCCAGGATGGAAGTCCTGGCCCAGGAAGGAATTCAGGGCTGGATGGATCTCACCACAATGCCTAGCAGGGTCCCCTGGATCTACACATCTGCATTTCCCAGCTTCGTTCCTGTAGATGGCAGTGCTTCTGTGGGACAGCAGAGGCAGATCAGCTTCTTCCTCCATTTTGGCCAAACTGTGATTAAATCCATTTTTCCTTCTTACATTATCTTCTCTTATTTCTGATGCTGGTGAACGCCCCAATACAGTTAGAAGAGACTCCAGATTGTTGGGCCCCAAGAATAGAAAATCTCTTCCCCCATGCCTGCTCCCCTGCTGAGACTCCCAAGGGTCCACAGCCTGCTGAACCTGGGCCCCAACTGAGATGTGTCAATGTTCCCTGCACAGCTGATGGCCATGAGCATCCTGGTCCTGTGGTGTCCCAGCTTCCAGGGTCTCCTCAGTCCCCTCCTGGACTCCCTAACTTTCTTCCCTTTTCTCCTTATGCCATGCCCCCACAGGAAATCCCCCTAAGGGTATGAAGCCCCCTCCTGCCCAGACTACAGCTCTCCTGGGAAGGTCACTAGGGCACAGTCAGGGCTGGAGAGAGAGTCCAGAGAGAAGGGTCTCTGAATCCCACCCTGGAGGCCTACCCCACGGTTAATCCCCCTCCCCAGTTCTGCATTCCAGGAGGCAGCATCTGGAGTCCATTCCACTGGAGAAATGTGAAGGACTTGGGGCAAAGTCCTTGGGTGGGAAGCCTCTGGTATCTGGGTAAGCAGAAGGAAAGGCCAGGTGGGTGAGGGGTGGAGGGAGCCCACAGCTCTAGGGTATGGGGACCCTGAGTTGTGTGGTGTGGCTGCTGTCCTGCGGGCAGCCAGATGTGTCCTGGGCTGATGGGCAGCATGAGGGCTGGACCCTGATCCCTCAGTATATCCACATAGGCAGCTGGGGTGGGGCAGGGGGGTCAACAGGGCCAAGGAGGATGAGCCCCAGGGGAGCGGGAGGCCCTCCTCCAGGACCCAAGGCCCCCCATGGCCACCCCACATGGCATAGGAACCATGATCTGCAGCCTCAGTTCATACCACGCATGTGCACAGAACTTTCCATATACTGTCCATATAATGAGCCACAAAAACACTTCAATAGCATTCAAAGAAAGTGTGAGTGTGAAATGTGTATGCATGTGGTGTGGGTGAAGTGTGTGTGTGTGTGTGTGTGAAGTGTGCATGTCATGTGTGTGCTGTGTTTGTGTTTGGATAGTTGGGTGCTGTGCATGCCGTGTTGTTGTTTGTACAGCACAGTTTGGACAGGATGGTGTGTTTCTTGGGATTTGAGTTGCCATACTGTGTGTTGAGTGTGTGTGTGTGAGAGAGACATGTGTATGTTGGGTTGTGTGGTATGTAAGGAGGTGTGTGTGCATGGTATGTGCGCGTGTGTTTTGTCCTTCAATTCCATGGTGACTGTGCCTTTGCAGAGACAGGCCCTCAGGATGAAGGCCAGTAGAGCTGGTGCCACACTGCCCTCTGGTGGCACACCGCAGTTATGGTCATGACAATGATCCCTGTGTCCCCAGGACAACCTGTGACAGACAAGGAATGCTGTCAGACTGACATGTAAATCAAGACCCAAGTATCCACCACAAAATTCCGGTGTCAAGATGGCAGTAGGCTGATGGGGCCAGTGCCCAGCAGGAGCATGGCTTCCAGTGGCCTCATGGAGGACAGGAGAGAAGCACTGCTGCCCTCCCTGTGGCAGCCCCGGGAAAGCCTCCCACAGCTGTGCTCATGCTCATGCTCTCGGGCCCCAGGAGCAGACTCATGTTGCTGGAAAGGCCACAGGGCACAGGGATGAAAAGCCACCAAAGCCAAGACGTGTTCAGTGGCCATGTTGGTAATGACTGTGATTCTGCAGCTGCAGCCTTGAGTGCTCACACACAGTAGAGACGGATGAAGTAGGAAAACAGGGCATGCTCGCTGCTGGTCAGTGGCTCTGACAAAGGCCCTAGACAGATGCGAGGCCGCTCTCCACACCCTCCCCACTCTTATTTCACCACTCAAAACTTCAAAGCCTGAGACAGAGGGTGGCCCCTGGTCAAGGTTACAGGAGGATAATCCTGGGGGCCCTTCTGGGCCAAGAGCTTGCTCCTCAGTATCCAGGGTGATACCTGCTCAAGGGAAGGGTCTGACCAGGATGGGGCTGGAAGGTCCCTTCTCTGGGCCTCCTGGACCAGGGTGCTCTCTGTGAAGGAATGCCATCTTTCTTGATGTTTATTTTTGGTGTCCCCCTCCAAAAAAACCTTACCGTGCTATGATTGTCCTGTGGCTTTGTAGACCATACATGGAGTCATGAGTCCCTCCACTAACACCCCCAACAGCACCCCATCTGCTCTGAATCCATCTCTGTGCCCTTCCTTGTTCTTTCCAAGGCCTGGCGTCATCCTGTGGCCTTGGCTGGGAGGCTGATGTGGCTGAGGGAGGGAGGCCATGTCACTGCCAGGAGGAGAAGATAAACTCCCATCCAGGTGGCAGGGCAGTCTCTGCTGAGAAAGCAGGGTGACAGCCATCAGAGCAGCCGTGGGGATGGCAGGTGAAACAGGAGAAGTCAGAGGCCTTGAGCCACCTCCCAGATGCCTCTTTCCTGCCCCTTAGATCCACCTCACCCCTGAAGTGGTGGCCCTCATGCTTTCCCCACATGATGAAGACTTGGCCACCCTACAGCCCCTGGGCTGAATGTATTGGTAAAGCTCCCAAAATGAACATGTTACCTTGGAACTATGGGAGTTTTCCTTCTCTTCCCCCGTTCCCCTACAGACTTCTGGAAAACTGGGCTTCTTCCTAGAAATCTATTCTGCTTTTAAGGGGAGAAATGGATGAAATTTATGGAAACAGCCCAAAATGCAACCCTGGCGTCACATGCTGGCTTTCCTGCTTGTGATGGCAAAGGTAGCTGTGGATCCCTCCACTTCATCCTGCTGTCACAAGTAGCCACCAGTCCTGGGCTTGTGAGCACTTCTGGGTATCAGACACTGCTTCTCCAGGAGAAGATGGGTGGTAAGAAGCACTTCCCCTGTGATCGAGATCTACCAAGTGGGCAGTGTCTGTAAATGTTATTTTCAGATCAATGGTGGGATTTTTTTTTTTAAATTTGGGCAGCCAAAGTGGTAGTACAATTATGGAATTTTCACAATACCTCATTTTAAAGTTGGCAGCTGTTCAGGTTTTCTTTGGAACCTCTTTCATTCAGGGAGGGAAATGCTGGCTAGTGGGTGGCCTTCCTGCAGCCATAAGAACAGGGAGACAGATGCCCAGAAAAGCTGTCCACCTGCTGGCACCCTCTGCACTGGCAGCTATTAACTTTGAAAATCTAAATTCCTTCCTGATCTCCTGACTTAGAAATGGTCTGCTTGAAATGCAAGAAACAATCATCATCAAATGTTCCTAGTTAGCAGGAGCTTGCTTCACAAGAAGTTCCAATGTGACATGGATGGAGATGATAGTGATGCATTTACTGGTTTTCAGTTCAGCTGGTTTTCAAGAGAATTCTCACTGGGAACCAGGTTTAGTCAGGTAGTAAGTTGTGGGCTCTTATGGATATGCCTCTGATGTCACTCTGATTGTTTGGAACCTGGGTTAATTTCCTAACTAGTTTGGGGTACCATTTCTGCCACTGGTCACAAATCTTGCTTCAAATTGAAATTCAGTTTGGCTTTGAGTGTGGAGACACATGATGATGGCTTCACCTAATTCAGTGTTTGTTTTGACCAAAAGTTTATTTTTCTAAGTCAAAATGGTGAAAATATGTAATTTTAGTATGCACGACTGGCTCTTAATAAAAATCCCTGTAAGGAAAAAAGAAAAAAGAAATCAATGATAGATAAAAAGTAGAAGTCATTCTAACATCTAAATAATATGCCATTGAATGACAAATGGAAAACAGAAGAAATCAGGGATGAAATAAAAAATACTTAGAGGTAAATGAGAATAGTGATATAGCATATCAAAATCTCTGGGATACCATGAAGGCAGTGCTTAGAGGAAAATTGATTGCATTGAGCTCATTCTTTACAACAACAGAAAGTCAATGAATAAAAGACCTAACATTACATCTTAAAGCCCTAGAAAAAGAAGAACAAATCCACACTAAAAGCAATATAAAACAGGAAATAATTAAAATCAGAGATGAAATTGAAACAAAAGAAAAAATTTTAAAAATTGACAAAACAAAAAGTTGGCTCTTTGAAAAAATAAATAACATTGATAAACCCTTAGCCACATTAATGAATAGAAAGAGAGAAAACTCTACTAAAATTTGTAATGAAAAAGGAAACATCACAATGGACACTACTGAAATACAGAAGATAATTAAAAACTATTTTGAAAGTTTATGCTTTAATAAAATACTCAAGACATCAGCAAATTTCTGGAGTCATTTAACCTACCCAAACTGAACCAGGAGGACATACACAATTTGAACAGATCAATTTCAAGTAATGAAATAGAAGATGCTGTCAAAAGCCTATCAACTAAGAAAAGCCCAGGATCAGATGGATTCTCAGTTGAGTTCTACAAGACCTTCAAAGAAGAATTAACACCAATACTTCTCAAATTATACCATGAAATAGAAAAGAAGAGAACTTCCAAACTCATCCTATGAAGCTAATATCACTTTGATACCAAAACCAAACAAAGACACATTATGGAAAGAAAACTTCAGATTAATATCCCTGATGAATATAGATGCAAAAATTCTCAATAAAATTCTCAATAAAAAACATTAAAAAGATAATGCACCATGATCAAATGGGGTTCATCACAGGAATGCAAGGTTGGTTTAACATACAGAAAACAATAAGTATAACTCATCATACCAGTAGATTTAAAGACAAGAATTATATAATAATCTTAATAGATGCAGAGAAAGTATTTGACAAAATACAGCACCTTTTCCTGTTCAAAACACTAGAAAAACTAGGGATAGTAGAAACATACTTCAACATTGTAAAAGCTGTCTATGCTAAACCCAAGGCCAGCATCATTCTAAATGTAGAAAAACTGAAAACTCCCTCTAAGAACTGAAGCATGATAAGAATGCCCTCTTACACCACTTTTATTCAACATCATCTTTGAAATGCTAGCCAGAGCAATTAGAAGAAAGAAACTAAAGGGATATGAATAGAAACAGAAGAACTCAAACAATCAATATTTGCCAATGACATGATTCT